GATTTATTAAGCAATTATGTATTGTCTGCACTGGATTAGCAGTATATACTGCTAATACAGTGCAGACAATACATTTACAATTATACTAACATGAATGGATTTAATGATCTGTATGTAGCCCTGTACTAGGGATCATTTGACCCATTCATGTTAGCAGAGGATCATTGTAAATGTATTGTTGCAGGCACTCTATATGTACATGTACTATATACTACATATAGAATGCACTGAACAATAGATTTACAATTATCCCCTGCTAATATGAATGGGTTAAATGATCCGTAGTACATGATATATAGCCCTGTACCCCCTTTTCCACTTACAGAGCTAGGTTATTGTTTTTCTTTTAAATAAATATTCATGTAATTTTATTGGTATCTATCTTCATTTTGTACATTTACCAGTAGCTGCCTCATTTCCCACCCTAGGCTTATACTCGAGTCAATATTTTTTCCCAGTTTTTTTTTGGTAAAATTAGGTACCTCGGCTTATATTCGGGATGGCTTATACTCGAGTATATACGGTAATGATAATATTGAGTAAGTTGACCACCAATGGTGTGCATACTCTATGCTCAGTGCATATAGGGTAATCCCTGCCAACATTTGACCATATACAAATGCGTCCAACTACTAACTCAGTAATTTGATGCTCAGGCTAAACAATTTTGTAAGTGAGGTCAACAAGAATCTTTTGTGTTTACACTCTGATGGTTGGGGCTTCTGCATCGACGTCCTGCCCAGCTCTGGCTCTGGCCTGCGTCCTGTCCAGCTTTTGGCAACCAATAACAGGACTGGTTGCAGGGGCTGGGTGGGACACCGGCCACAGTGTCCCACTGGTTGCCAGAAGTCGGGTGGGATGCCAACCAGAGTGTCCCAGGTTGCTAAGAGCTGGGTGGGCAGATGGGTATGACCCTTACCCATCTCCCCGCTCGGCTCTTAGCAACCTGGGACACTCTGGCTGGAAAGGGGGGGCGGCAGGCACACTGCAAACATTGTGCAGCAGAGCGGCCATGCCCCTCCACATGACTCAAAAGAGATGCTGACTGAGGCAACAACTGAGGCATGGACCTGGATATATCTGTTTGTTTGTTTTTTTCACCATCACCAGCAATAAGCTGGAGGATGGTTAACACCCAGAATTAAAACTTTTAAAGAAGCGCCTTGGACATCCCAGAAATGCCAATGTTACATTGTGTTCCTCAGTCAATGAAACAATACTTGGCATCAGATCCTTTGTCTTGTTTTTTTTATATCTTCCTACCTCGGTAGCTGCAGGCTGGCCAATGACCACCCACCCTGGGCAATCCGCATCACTATGATGTGACACTGTAACATTTGAGGCCCACTGGTCGGCAAATCCATTCGGAGTGTAGACCCCGCAGTCTTTAATGCTCGTCATCCTCTCAAATTCTTCACAGACTCCATCGCCGTCGTGGAAATAGCACCTGCTGGGTTCATCTGCAAAGACAAAAACAAAATCTGGTGATCGCTTGAAAATAACATTGACTTTTTAGCACTCTTCAAAAGTTTAGCATTAGATCTACAGGTGGGTGCCTGGGAGAAAGACGGTTTTGAAGGCATCTGAATTGAAGACCTTTTAAAGTCCATATGATCATCAAATTCCCAGAAAATGCCAAGTATGAAAAAAATGAAGGGTGTTATTATTATTATACAGGATTTATAGCGCGCCAACAGTTTGCGCAGCGCTTTACAATATAAGGAAGACATTACAATCACAATACAATTCAAGACAAGATTGTGAGGAGGGCCCTGCCCCTGAGGGCTTACAATCTGAAAGGGAGGGGCAAGTGATACACGGGGAGGTAGCTGTGTGAGGATGAATTGTTTGAGAACATGAAAGAGATGAGTTTTTAGTGATCACCTAAAGGCAATCAGAGTGGGAGATAGTCGGACAGGTTGGGGTAAAGAGTTCCAGAGGATAGGGGAGACTCTAGAGAAGTCCTAGAGGCAAGCATGGGAGGAGTTGAGGAGGGAGTAGAATAAGCATGGGCTCACTTTACAGCAGGCATAGGGTGACTTTGGAGCAAGCATAGGCTCACTTTGGAGCAAGCATGGGCTGACTTTAGAGCAAGCATGGGCTGACTTTAGAGCAAGCATGGGCTCACTTTAGAGCAAGCATGGGCTCACTTTAGAGCAAGCATGGGCTCATGTTAAAAACCGTTTAAAGTCCACATGATCATCAAATTCCTAGAAAGTACCAAGTATGAAAAAAATTAAGCAGCATTCGGCTCGGCTATTCTCGGCTCATTCTCATAGGGGCCGAACGGCAGTGAATGAATAGCTGAATGCCACTTAGCGGCACTCGACTCGGCTATTCTGTTCGCTACCTCCGAGGTATAAAAAAAACTTAAATAATGAAAAAAAAATGTAAAAAATTATTTTTAAAAATGTAAAAAAAATTGAAAAATTTGAAAAAGTTAAGAATATAATAAAACAAATTTAAAGGAAAAAAATAAATAATAATTTAAAAAATGACGCACGCTGACCCGACCGAAGCGAAGGGCTCCAGCGGGCCAAAGCGAGCTGAAGGATTTACCGAAGCTACGGCTCTTTAGTGAATAACCCCCCTTTATTTTTCTGTGCCGTGCGAAAGGGTCTCTTTCACTAGAACTCAGTTCATCAATTACAGGAATGCTGATTATATACATCTGTAGGAGAAAAAAAAAAATTAAGAAGCCTTTCTCCGTGTATCTGTTTCTTTTTAGGAAGAGGTCCAACAACAACAAGTTTCATGCCGCATCACGATCAATCCGAGAAGAAAAAAATATGCGCTTGCATTGTCTCGGATATTGAAATTCTTCAAATATATTAAAGCCCTCATAAGAAGTCTTGGATGTGTTCTACCGATCGGCGTTACTGTGGTGGCGCCAAGTGATTGACTTTGATTCGGTCACTCTCACGGGGAGTAAGAGGATGGGCAGAAGGCGAATATAATATATTGTTTATGCTGCAGACTTCACGCAGCAGTTTTCGGTTTTTCTTCTCTCCTCCCCCCCCACCCTCCAC